CGGGCCCCCCCCCGCCGCGCAGCCGCCATCTTGAGCGGGGCGGGCGGGCAGAGCCACCATGTTGGGTGCGGCGGGAAACTGCCGTGACGTGAGGCCTGGCGTCGAGCTGTCACCTCACACGACGGGGGCGTGACACAGAGAGGCACAGTCAGCGGGTTCAAGTACCTTGCCATTTTGTTCATAGTGTTCATTTGTCCCTGGTAGATACCGTTTTAGGAGTCAGTCACTCGTTAAGGGGTCTGCCCAACGTACCTCCCGTAGTGACAGGCAAGCCCCGGCGCCGACGCCGGCCCCCACCCCTTCCTTTTCCCTGTATAGCGAGGGATGGTGCAGGTCTTGTACAGGTGGGGTGGGGGATGATCCCCGCACAGGCCAGTCGTCAGCGTCCTTCACTCCATCCTGTGAACGGATCTGTCCAGATCTACAACTGATTGCTACGGCTGCCGGCCCTATTTCTCTAGCATGCCCTACCTGAGACATGGATAGGGCCCAGGGAAGGGAAGAGGAGAGGAAAAAATACCATACCAGTGAAGAGCCTGCAACGCCTGGAGTGTCAGCAGATGATAATGGACAGTTTATAGAGGGCAGGGGAGATAGTCCCTCCTCCAGCATCTCCTCACGCTTTATGAATCCATTCCCAGGTTACCCTGTGAGCACCGAATCTTCTCGTAGTATTTTGCAAACCTCTAACCAATAATTTCTGCTATCTGGCAGAATTAGTAAATGGATTTCTGACTGATGTGGTTTCTCTTTCTCCACCAGCTTGTGACGTGGAAAGAGTCAGAGGAAATCCATAGCCTGTAGGTCAGGAATATGAAAAAAGGGTATTCAACATATGTAAGGTACTACGTGTCCTTTGTTACTATAGCGTCTGAGTGTATTTATCCTTGCAAAGCAACGTCCCTGAAATCATGGGGGATGATTCACCCCACAGGGAAAAGGGGTCTCCCAAGTCCTAGGCTAAATATCCTTACCACTGGAACTCCCATCCTCTTGTTCTGTGGGCTCAAAGCTGTGTTCATAATCTTAGAAGACACAGAAAATTACACTATTTCTGCTAGAATTTATTTCTAAATAAAAACTCATTAAGAATTTCCTAGTTGGTTGCAGTTACGCATAAATGGGAACTTTGTGCTCTGAAGACCAGCAGTTTACAAAAATATTTCAGAAAGAACGTGTTATACAAATTGCTATGGAGACTGTTCATAGATAAACCTAATGTGCTGCTTCCTTTGCTGGCCTCTTAGTCTCTGCTGATGTCAATATTAATAAAAGATTTCTAATACCTTCCAGGAGCCAGTTCTTAATTAGCAAACAGGTTTGCATCCCCTGCCTTCTGAAGGAGCTTTAATCAGCCCTTGTTTTCCCACAGGACAATCTACCTTACTACCACAATTGCAGTTCATTTCATTGAGAATTTCAGACACCAGCTAGTCTTAACTCCTTTTCCTCAAGAAAGTGAAGTTGCAGCAGGTCTCCAAAATCACCACTTCCATTTTTTTGCTACCTAGACCTTATTATGGGAATAAATAAAGATACTTGTGGCAGGAGATCAGATGTTAAGAAAGCCTTGGCCTGTGAAACAGTCACTGTAGGACAGCTGTGTGCAGTACTGAGGATTGCTCTTACCTGCAGAAAACAGCATAAAGGCTTCTCTGTTCACAGAGTTTCCATCCTCGTCTGGGAAACGATCAGGGTTAAACTATCAAAGACTCTCCCACTGCTCTTGATCATACAGGACAGAAAATATGTTGCGGAAAATGAAGGTATCCTACTGAAAGACAAAAGGAACATCCAAGGATCTTTTTCACAGAATCAAAAACTAATGACTTAAATTGCCAATGTATCAGTTGCTCTCTTGAAATTGCCCAATGCAAGTGCCAACTAATTATTACGGGGTGAGAAACAGGGTCACGCTGTGCTATCTCCTACAGAATAGCTTATTTAGAAATTATTAGGCACTCTTAAAGATTGATTTTAGAGCACCAGAGGATGCAGTAATTACAGTAATCAAAAGCTTGGGGGGGGGGACGGGGGGGGGACCCACCACTGAACTGAAGGCTTCACACTGATCCAAGACTTTGATCTTGACTTTCTCAAAGACATCTTCCCCCAAAGCCACATAGGTTTTATCCGCTGGGAAGACCACCTACATGAGGTTGGATATGATTTAAAGCATTCTGCTAATACAATAAATTGTATATACAGACACCGTTTTTCAAAAATTTCTGTGGTTTTTATATTTAGCTTGTACCAGTTTAAAAGAAGCCTATGGTCATCATACTGGTACCTTCAGACCAATCTAACTCTTGAAATCCCGTATAGAAAAATGGTAAAAGTAACATCTGTGCAAAAGGAGAGGGAAACTGAGTGCAGGTTTATTCATATTATAAGATGTAGATAATGTCGAGCATCTTATTCACAGTGAAAAGTTCCTCACAAGTTGTTCAAACTCACCTTCGGGTAGTTTTGCAGCCTGGGACAAAATATAATCAAAACGTGGTGTTTCAGTTGGTGAGAGGGATCTATTGCCTGGCTTCGCTTCGTCTAAGGATTGTCCCCAAAGCTTAGTGGCATTAACATACCTTAGTAAAGGGAAGCCTTTCAGTATGGTATCCTGGGTGCACCTGCACACAAACCCTACTGTACTTACGCTGCTATAGCCTATAATCTCATGTAGAACTGCATTTGGGTATGGCAGGATCATTTAGTCCTTGTATTCAATTCCATAGGATGAACCAATGACAGCATCCAACTCTTCTTGGACTTGTTCTGCAGAATAAAAAGATTAACAATGAGTATTCAAGAAGACAGTTGATGTGTAGACTCTATGCAGAAACTCAAAATTCCCAAGGCAGGGAACACTGCAGGACTAGGACAGCTGAGTCAACTGCATTTTGCCTATTACCCTGCCATGAGCAAGGACGGTGACAGGTATAAGTGCAGATACATGCATTTCTCACCTTGTACTTCCAGATATACCATCACGGAGAGCCCAGCATAAAGCGATCGTGGTGGTGTCTGAGCCCGCTATGAAGAGATCTGTGATTGCTTGCACCATGTTGGTCTCACTGAATGTAGAGAGTGGGTCATCCTTTGCCTGCAGATGAGAGACAGACGATGAGATATAAGACTGTTTTAACAGCATAGCAAATTTCCAGCAACAGAGCTTTTTTCATCACAGAGTCCATACTGAGTTGATGAAGCTGGTAAGACAGCAGCCATGTAGCTCTGTTAAAAAAATAATCTTGCTGATTGAGGGAGACAGCGTACAATAAGCTTTCCTTCAGTGTAGGGTGGAACAACATTACTCTCTCTCTGGTGACTGCCAAGGAACATCCTCAGTACATTCACAAAGTACTTTGCTCTGGAGGTTGAATTCAAAGAAAGAAATAGCTCAACAATCTCTCAGGAGCAAAAAGGAGGAGAAGGAAGTAGAAGTGCAGCTGGAAATATCTTAACTACAAGCATTTTAAATATCTTGCAGCTGCACAAGAGACAATTACTTGTTACCTTTAACGTCTGAGCTGGATATGCGTAATGAAGTTCTGTGGCTCTGCAGGCACTCAGCTCTTCTGGTGGTTCCTGATCTCATTCTTAATAAGTGTTCATAGATCCTGCAAGTGTGTTAGTGCCACCAGCAATCTCATTAACACAATTGCTTAAGTGCCTCAACAGTGATGGGAAAGTGTCGCAGAGCTGCATGTGGAAATACAAGCACAAGGAACACCATGACATCTTGGCTTCATGGTGCATTTAAAGCCTGAACGTTCACAGCTGAACCATGCCTAACCATGGCTGTGATCCAGATGTCTGACTATAGGAAATGAATGACCACTTAATTTTTAAAAATTTATCTTGGAGAGAAGAAGTATGTGAAGGATGACCATTACCATACAGTTACTTTCCAGATTGCCTGCTCTCCACTAGTAACTTTCACATTTGGAGGATTTAAATGCCCTTGAGTACAGTTTTTCTTATGTTTTCTAAGTGAAGCCTTTCCCAAATAACCTGTTCCCTCCTAAACCTTAAGTCAACACTTGGCTGCACTTCTCAAAGCCACAACCATGTTAGCTTGTCTTGTTTTTTCTGGATGGTCGTTGCAGCCCAGTCTAACACAGGAAATCAGAGCTATTACAGAACCCTTCAAGGCACAAGCTGAGAGGAAAAACCTGATTCTGGCCCTGAGGGCAAACTTGATGCTGAATAATATCAATGTCTCTCTGAAGAGAGCTATTACAGGAGATTCAATGGGCCTGTAGATAAAGCAAGCCAGGAATGGTTGCAGAGGGATTGTTATTGAGAAAGAAGGGGACAGAAGTGAGTGCTGGTTTTAGCAGAGTTCAGTGTTTACTTGAGCTCTTCTTCCTCTCCACGCATTGGCAAAGAGTGACCATTTCATGCCATGGCTCACCAAGGAACGCCGTCGGGTTTTGAAACAGTTACAGGGAACGGGTCAGTTCTGGCTCACCTGAGGCCGGGAGAGGCCGTGGAATTCTGCCACGGCCTGGGAGCCTCTGAGCAGCCTCTGGCGGCACTTGGCAGCCTCTGTAGTGAAGCAATGTCCAAAAAGCACCTCAGCAATCACACTGTTGATGGAAGAAGGGAATGGGACAGAGAGATCCATGCATACAGAGAAAGCTGCATCATTAACTTCTTTTATAGGCTATGACCCTTTGTTACACTGAGCTCCCATCCAGCCTGCTCTTGATTTGCATGGGATTACACAAATAGCTGAGCCTGCGGGAATCAAGAAGCAGGAGTCTAACTGGGAGATCATTTTTCAGGCACCTTTATAATGAGTGAGGGAAAGATTCCATCCTGTAGAAAAGTACATAATCAGCACAATTTAGGAGTCTCCCATCTGTCACTTTCTCCCATAAAGGGTTAGCATGAAAGCGATGAGTCAGGTGTGATGTTTCAGCCAAGTGAAAAATGAATTGTGAAAGCATCAGCTGTGTAAACCTCCCATCGAACCTACTGCAGAAATCGCAACTTCCAGTAGAAAAAGCAGGGTTGGAAATAAGGAGCATAAGCCCATGTCATGACCACATACAGATCTATATTTCACCTCTTTCTCTGGCAAAGGCCTCAGTCGGGCAGCAAGCTTCCTCCTGGATCCAGGCTTCCAGGCTTTTCTTCCCTAGTCCTAGGTTCCTCAGAGTCATCAGGTGAACCGTCTCTGCTGCTTCCAGGTGTGCCCATTGGCAAAGGTGAAGCCTGCAACAAAATGGAGAAGGACTGGGGAGAAGTACAGGACTGGCATCTCCGTAAGCAGGACTGGTGAAATTGTAGTGGTTCCAAGATTTACCACCATGACTTTGGAAGGATCCCTGGCAGTATTTATATGGGGAATCAGAGGTGTTTATGCTGTTTTTTCACATCTCGTTGATCCTTTTTGTGGGAACTAAGTTCCATGTCTGTCTTTCCTTTTCTGCTCCTTTACCTAGAACCATGCACTCAACACACGCTGGGTCCTGCTGGCTGGCATTTTTACAGTTTTACATCTTTTATCACAAAGGCTTCTTGAGATAGCTTGGTAACGTGCCCAGTAACTAAGAATTGCCCAGGCTATACAAGTATATAAATGGGAAATACATTAGACTTGTGTGCTGAATGTACATTTGGGGCCCAGCATTTGAGAAGGACATGCAGCAGTGGTTCTACAGCATTCGTCATGTAGATGCAGTCATTGTACCAAACCCCATTCTCTGAACAGCTTGTTCTGCTAAAAATATTTCAGTACACACAACAACAGAAAGCACCATAGGGGCGTCCCACAACATCCCTAAAAAAGGATGCCATAGGTCTCTCACAAAATTCTCCTGCATGCCCAATCAAGGCGTCCTTCACTGCTTAGACATCCATTTAGCAAAATCACTGGTGTTTTTCCTAGCCAGAGCGTGTACGTATTTCCATACATCCTGGCCACCTAGAGAGACAATAAGACACGATGGCATAAAGATATGAGACATCTACAGAGAGGCCCTCCCACATCTTAGTGGTACTTTAGGCCAGAGCTCAAAGACCGTTTCTATTATGTCAGGGCTGTTTTGCATCCATTGGCATTGCCCAAGAAAGGGACGGGAGAAATTTCATTCTGCTGTCAGGAAATAAAACAGGTTGGAACCATGTTTCACTATTAAAATCTTAAAAGGCTTTCACTGTTATTAATGCATTGCATTATTATTTATGGCTGTTATTATTCATGTATCTGCAGTTTATATAGCCATCAGTGCAACAACCATGTCATGTTACCCAGAAATACTTCAATGGGATTTCTTCCATTTACATTGCCCCACCAGAGGTGATTGATGGATACTACAAAATCATAAATATTGCTTTTATGATATTTCCATGTTTATTTGTTTTCCAATCATACAGCTTTTTCAGTGTATCAGTAGTTAACACTAGGAACAGCCTTCATCATTAAAGTAGAAATTATAGTTGTAATTAACACGTGCAGCCATTAGATGGTAATGTTTGCTCACCTTTGCACTGAGCACTGTGCTTGCGAAGTCTAGCACAGTGAGGCAGTTACGCCAAACTTCAAACGTAGCCATTGATCTGGGGGATCTCATCTGAGATGGGTTGAGTACCATGAGCTGCCTGGGAAGTACTTAGCTCCTACAGATCCTACTGATTGCTGCCGGAGGTTGGGTTCTCAGTAGTTCTGCAAATCAAGTCTCTGGCACCCATAAATTAGAGACCAGTTTTGAACTCTTTGGGTAGTTGAGAAAGACCTAATTGCATAGAGGGAGGGAAGACGAGGTAGTGTTACTTTGCTCAAAGATTTAGGATTTTGGATAGGAACAACGCCAGCTAGCCTGTGACTGTATGGGATAGGAGGTAAGGATTTCTGAACATCTGTTTGAGGGATGTTAAAGTATGAAGCAGAGGGATGAATAAAGATTGTGCCTGCACGTGTTTTTGTGTTACATGTATTTGTATATGTAACACCAAACCGTATGTTGTTACATATATTTGTATATGTAACACCAAACTGTATGTAACTATATATATATTTATGTAACTGTATATATATAATGTGTGACCTTTTTCTGAGCAGTTGCAGCACTTTGGTAATATGTGATAGACACTTGAAAGATGAAAAGGCATATCTCTACTCTAGGGATTTTTGGGGAACTGGTGAAAACACACCATTTGTAAAGCTGTTAAGAGTTCGACTAAGCACAGTTTCCACATGTGTCCTGGCTTCTGCAGTTTGCTCTTAGGAATCCACTGGTAATGTTGTGCTGCTGAACTCACCTATGTTGCTCATGAACATCTATAAGCGTCTCTCTGCGTCTCTCTGGAGGTGGGTGCAGGCCTCCTCCTTTGCAATTGTTGGAAAGAAAGATGTAGCCAGGGATTCTGAAATATGCGGACCATACTGAAAACACATGCAAATATGATCAGGCACCTAGTTGCTGCCACTTGCTGTGAGCAATGACTGTTTTCTGTAGGGGAGAGTAATTTGAAGAATGGTTTTCACAGCAGTTGGAAGTCCAGTTTCTTGCCTTAATAGCCCAAGTAAGGTGGAGAGCGAAGAAAAAGCAAGTGCTTGAATCCCTGAATTGGATTCCATCTAGTACCCAAAGGAACTGCAGAGCCTGTGTTTCCTTCTGTACACACAGGAAAATAGGGAGCCTCAATGATGCATCTTGTCTCACACACCTCCCAGGCTCAGTGATTCTCCTTTTTACCAACACTGCTGCATTTCCCAGGAGAGCCAGAGATGAGGTCATGGCATGAATCCCGAGCAAGAATCCTTCCTGGCTCATCCTCCAGCAGCACATGGAGAAAGGAAAGGGTCCTGTGGGTCTTATTTGGCAGATGGGTCTTATTTGGCAGATGGAGCATGTAGACCACATTAAGGACTGTCAGTAACATTAATAATGTATTCCTTCTGTGCCTCTGCACTGTCCAGGAAAGAAAAAAAAGCCAGAAAGCCAATGTGTTGATATTCTACCGTACCAAACAGTAGATAAAATGTCACCTAGCTGCAGTTCTGTGGAACTGCTTACTTATGCAGTCAAATGGATTAAGACTTTGATCTATCTACTTGGTTGTTTTGCAATGCACATCAGCTCTGATGATTACTGACACTTGCAACACCCTCCCAAAACACGCAGGACTCTGGGGAAGAGGAACTATTGTCTCAGCACAACTTTCAAAATCTTAACACCACAGGTAACAAAGCTTTTCTTTGTCCTTTTCCCTAAAAGCAGTATCATTCATTCCTATCCCCAACAGCAAGGACTGGCCTGGAGCAGTAACACCTCCAGCGTGCTGCAGTCTCACACACTTTGCTGCTCCTGCATTGGCCAGGCCAGGCTTCTGTCTAAGGAAGCCTTCCAGGGCCTTTTTGTGCCAAGATGTAACCAGACAATGGCAACATTGCCAAAAAAAGGGCTACAGGATTCAGTCCTCAAGCAAATAAGTTTTGCTTTCTGCCTCTGTTTGATGAGTTTTGCTTATTCTTCCTGTTTCCTTTCCTCCCTGCTTGTAGCTTGTACTGTAGTAACAGGATTTCCCAGGCCTTATTTTTGATGAGGTGACTGTTCAGCGATTTGCACCATTTGCAACTGTTGCTACAGGCCCTTTCCACTCACTGCTAATCGTCTCCAAAGTCCAGCAAGGAGACAGCGGTTGAAGTTCTGCCTAGAAAGTTCACAGTTCAGACTGAAGCCAGGAAGGAGCAGGAAGATGCTTTTCCCTTCTAGCCAAGGATACATTCGGAGTCTGCACCTGAACTACTCATAAAACTCTAAAAAGTATCAGTACCTTCAGGAGTGCTTCACGGTGAATTTGGAAGTCCAGTGTCCACAGATTGCCAAAGAAAGGGAGAGGTATCAGTCCTGGAGGCAGCTTCCTTTGGGCCCTCTGGATGTTCAGCAATATCGGAGAAAACCAGACAAAGAGAAAGACAAGAACACCCACAAAAATTTGACTTCTAGAAAACATTGCTGTCCTCACGTCAGCTCCTCACAGCTCCTCACTCGGCTGTGACCTGCTAGCCCCAGAGCCATCAGCCCCCAGAGGCACACCCCCACAGGCATTAGCCCTATTGCAGCACTTGGACAGCACAGGCAAATTGGGCATGTCTAGTCCCAAGCGAACGCAGCTGGGCCACAAAGGAGTGTGTCCCTTGAACTATGCACAGAGTGAGCAGGAAGAATGGATCAAGTGAACTGAGGTGAGCCACTTATCAGCTACCATAGTGAGGACAAGGCTGGTACCTTGGTCTGGACATTAGCTTAGACTTTAGAGACTTGGTTGAATTCCCTGCTGTGCTACAGATCTCCTCTGTGATTCTGGGCAAGCTGCTTCATGTAGTTTCATGTTATAACCAGTCTGTAATCTACCTACACGCAAGATGCTTTGAAGACGAATAGTCCCATCCCTCCATTTTCCCTCTCGCTAGGATTGCATCTAGCAACTACGGAGCCATAAAGTCAGTGGATTCATTTGTCTGATCTGGTGGAAAGCCTTTCATTTTTAGTTGCAGTAATAGTTTTTTGCTGGCTCAGCAGTCTGAACACACTCACCTGCTGGCTGCTGTGCCTAATGCAGCACAAGCAGAGTGAGAGCATGGCCAAGGACAAAAGGGGCGGGACCACCCCTTTTGGCAGACTCCCTGATCATTTTAGCTGCAGCACAAATCTTTATCTGAATCCCCTCTGCCTCAGAGTCCCTCCTACTTGAGCTCCTAGGGCTGTTGCCGTCACAAATACATTCCCAGTTAACCACTCCAGTGACAGGAGACAGAGAACTGCCCTGTACAGAAATTATGTTGCACTCTCAGGAGATTGTTTCCTTCTAATGCACTAAAACATTCTCAGCTAATGCCCTAATAAGATTTATAGGTAATAGGTAGTAAGTGTATGGATGGCGACTAGATGGGGAGACATAATAATGGGAGGACTTTATGGAAGGCTGAAAACAAATCTAATAAATTTGATATTCTTCAGAAACATTGTGAGAGACAATGAAGCATTGCAAAACACTTCCAGAGACCATGCGAAAGAGCCCAGGAATTGCCAGCACTGTTATCTCCCCTGCATCAAACCTTTCTCAGAAATTTCTTTAGTTTTGTTCATCTTCAGCATCAGGAATTTGAAGGACTTTCAGGGTGTCTGCCACTGCTCGGAAGAGGCTGTACTGGGGGAGGACAGTGGTGGCCTGTAAGGCAAAAATGGTTTTGATCCTGTGTTGCACCTGTATGTTAAGGATGGGAGTTTCCCCTCTCTTATTGAACGTGCATCTGACAGCACTGCTGTCTCATCAGGACCACCCTGGGAGGGGCCTGGGCAACTGGCTGTGCTCAGCAGCATGGTTGCAGGGACACTGCACTCTCTACTGTCGTGTTACAGGCTTGTTACATGCCCAGCTCCCTCTGCTTTCATTCTGACTCTTACAGAAAGGAAAGAAGAGTGAATACTTCTTGCAGCAAGAAAGGCAGCAAGATGAAGCTAATGGGCCTGGGTGAGCCCATGATTCTCAATAAATCAAAGATGCATTTGTCAGCTCACAAAGAGTATGAATTTCCAGCTGGATGCAGTTTTACGAGTTTTTACCTTTACACTTCCATCCTAATGATATCTTTGTGCTGACCTTGGTGCGTTCTCTGAGAAAGCACAATCCAAGTGGTTTTGCATATGACCTCATTAGTCTCCCCTCTTCTCTGGGATAATTCAAAATATGGAGCAGTGCCCAGTGCAAAGTGGTCGTTGCGGTTTCTGTTCCTGCCAAAAAGTGGTTGCAGAGAACCCAGACCACGTTGACTTCATCAAATTGCAGAGCTGGGATTGCCTTTAATCTTCAGGCGAGAGAGGGGTGAGTTTAGAGTACAGCAGGCATTACAACATGTGCAGTCATTAACGCCAGATGACTTCAGCAAACAATGGTTTGCAGAATCTCTGATTTTGCAAAGCAAATAAATATGAAGAGCAGTAGGAAGTAGTAATAATGTCTCGTAAGTCTCTGTTTCTTCATGTCTGAACAAAGTATCCTGTCTCGTAGGCAGTGTTGAGAAGTGCTTTGAATGATAGCAAAAGATCAAGCTGGAAGTTTTTCAATGGCAGATGTTTCTTTCAGAGATCTGCTGAATTCACATGGGATTTTCTTATTTCAGTGAAAGCTTTAGGACAAGTTTATAGAGTCCCACTCCTCCACCACTGTCCTCCTGTGCCGTCCTGCACGGACAGAGCCCTGTGGTATCCCTGGAAACTGCAGCTGGTGTATGTTCCTCCTTTACCAAAGAACGTGCAAAACATGCAAGCTCTTGACAAGTAAAATCCTTCTTGTGAAGATCTGGGAGACGGTTCAGGAGCCAGGGCAAAATATCATAAACCAGTAGCAAACACGTAGCAGCCTTGCCTTTATTCTTTCTACTTAAATTCCTAGCAGCTCTCTCAGCATACTGAAGTACCAAAGATAACTTTTGGCAGTAAGATCTGCTATTTAATTTTACCAAGAGATGCATTTTGGCACCATGAGGCTGGTTCAGTTTCAGGACTCTAATTAGCAGCATCTAAAAATATATGGCTAGAGCACCATTAGGAAACACCTGAAACACCTAACCTGAATGACTACAAAAAAAGAACCCTTTAGTTGTCAAGAAAATTAAGATTCAGAGAAGGCAAAATCTCAAGAAGTAGTTTCTTCTCATTTGACAAACAAGCTTTTTAGATACTTTTGCCACAGTGCCATACTGCCAGCCTAGCTCCTGCTGTAGCTGTCTTGCAGCCTTTTCTGCTTTTCATGTTTTGTCCTGTGGATCGCACCTGGATTCTTGTATTTTTTAATTTCTTTGTATTGATCGTTATTCTATTTGTGCTATTTATATTTTTAATTTTCTTTCTTTTGTAGGGCTCCTCTCTCTCATCCTTTCTACATCTGCAGGATATGATCTTCAAGCAGTTTTTTAACTGGTTCTCCTGGAAACAGCTGCCTCGAACCAAAGGTTCTCACAGGAGGTTGGGAGATGGTACCCAAATTAAACATGTCATTCACTATTCCTCTGAATCATGTTCTCTACATGATACTCATAGAGAAATAGTCGCTGTGAGCCCAGCGAGAAGGCTAATCAATAGTTTCCAGGCTGTGCTGCGTAAGGTTGTACCAATGTCTCTTTTGAGGGTGATAACAGAAAAAAGCAGCCCACAGCCAGTGAAGGTATACAACAGAAATGGTAATCCTGGGAGCTTTGGTAGTAAGAAGATAGGTAATTCTCTGTAATATCATTTCCTGTCTGAGACGCTAATCGCAAGGAAACAGAAATGAAGCTTTCTAAAGCAAAGAAGAAATTATGTCCTTTTAACTGCCTTTTTTATAATCTTGCACTATTATTGCAATCAATATTTTCAAGAAAGCTTATTCCCTCATTCTTCTATCTTGTGTAGTGATGTGGTCAACTCTGCATGCTCTGCTACACAGCAACAAACTACATACAACAAACCCCTCTGAAGGAATTTTGAGTGCTAATATATGACAGCACAGGATGTTCCCAGGTTCCCAGCACTGATCTGTTGACACTGAACAACACTGGAACTGGAGAAACTTCTCAAGTCTTACCTGGTGCTTGATGATAAAACCCCTGAGAACTCCTTGCAATTTAGTGGGACCTCTGGGACTTCCAAACTTGGTCTGCTGGCATCCCACAGGGCTTGTACTTAACATTGCCTGGTATGGATTTGTCTCTTCAGGGGCACCTCTCTTGAATCACCCGAGTACACATCAGTTGCCAAAGCAGCTCAGAATTAAAAGAAGAATGGTGAATTCTGATGATTGCAATGTTAGAAACAATCATAAAAAACATGAAGTAGGAAAAGACACGTGAAAGGGGGATCTATCCCTTCTGCAGGAGGACACCAGGTCTCCTCTGGGTTATCCCTTCACTGCCTTAGCTATAAGTCAGCAGTGGCAGATCCTGTCTTAGACCAGACCCCGTTCTGAGTCTCCATGGCTCTGATGACAATACCTGACAACAGTCTGGACCTCACTACGGCAGTAGATCGCTTCATTCTCCTTCCTTCTGCATATGTTTAAGGGCATTTGTCCCGGTTGCAGCCTGGATTAGTGGCAGACACAGGCAAGAGCACAAAGAAATCATCCTCTCAGCTTGTTTGCATGTGTTGTTCTTGGACACACACATCCCCTGTGGCATGTTGATTTCTTTTCCTGGGAACCACCTTCCTGATTAGAAAATCATTCAATACTGGTTTATCTGATTTCTCCTCTCCCAGGATGATTTGGCTCCCTCTCCGAGATGATACAGCTTTCCCTGTAACAGTCGTCATGGCTTTTTGCAAACTAGCAACCTTTGCATTAGAGAAAATACGATCTGTGTAACACTTCTGATTAATTCTGACTCAAGGTGCTGGATTGTGTCCTTGAAGACAAAACACATACCTTGTTTAATGCAAAGTTGCCAGTCATTTTCCCTTCCTCTAGCAGTTTGAGGATCCAGGTCACTCCATGACATCCTTAAGTCATCTCTCTCCTTTAGCCTCATTCTGGAGAGAATTTCTTACTGAGAATTTCTTATTTGTGAGGTCACACTGGAGAGCGGTAGGTCTTAAGGAATACCGGTCTGGGGAAGTGTGAGTCCTTAACTGAAATGTACTAGTGACGGTATTGGTTACCACCAAATATGGCAAAAGAAAGGTAGGTAGGTCAGTGTAATTTAGGCTGGTATTTTTTAAGGAGAGAGGCTTAAATAAATCCATATTTATTGTGTGGAGCACCGCGGATTTCTCTGGAAGTTCAGTACTGCTAAATACCATACTACTTTACCTCTGTAACTTTATTTGAACTTGGAAGTCTCTCCTTTAGGCTGCCTATGCTTGCAACAATAAACTAAAGGTTTTCAAATTGACTTAATTGTTCCCTGAGGGTGAAAATACTGCTTTCTTAACTGCCTTTTGGCTGAGTCACAAACACTCCATTTTCATTCCCTCTCAGGCTCAGAAGGCTCCCGTAAATCCATGCTTTATTCCATGGACTCTGGCAGTGACGTATGTTTTCGCAAGAGTAAGCTACAGATACAGCATTACTCCACATATAACACACCTTATTTACATGGCATCTTTTGATTATTTTATCATTTATCTGCTAGCTACTTTAAATATATAAGTTGTGTAACTTCCTCCAGGTGTTGTGTTGGCTGTGTCGCTATCTGAAACCAAACACAGCCTGAAGCCTGTTTCCAGTGGTGGGGAGAGGAGCTGGGTCAGGAGGGCTGGTCTCCTTTGCTCATCGCAGCTCAGACACTGCTAGACTAGGAAAGAAAAACTGGAGCTGCTAAACACCCCCTTATCTCCTTGCTGCTCCCTGTTTGTACTCAACGCTGACCAGGATGAGAGCTGAACTTCTTTTACGCCAACAGTAGGAAAGAAGCTTTTCTACTTCCCACCACTTCTCTACGCTCCCTGTAATTTATTTTCTGGACGCTCCAGCAGGGCAGGGGCTGCTGGGCTGAAATTCGTTCAGTATACGACACTTTTTCACCAGCTATTTCTCACCTAGTGCACTGTAGTCTCTCAGCAGCTACTGAGACTTGCCTCTCCCCCACAGGGGGGAATTGTAAAAGCTATTTTGAATGGAAATTTTACTCCATATACATGGAGGGGGAAAAAATTTGAAATCCTTTTGATTTGGGCTAAAACATAGGGTTCACAGCTGCTGTGTTTTTTAAATTTGATTGCTTTATTTCCTGTGGATGTGTCTGGAGCAAGGAGAAATCTGCAGTTGAACCCACCATTTTTTATTAATTTTTATAAGATATGTTTCCATGTATTTGTGCATATAAAGCCATTGATTTTCTCCAGCTAATATGAGCTGCTCCTGAGCATTAACAGATCATTCATACAGATTTACAGTGGCTCCTCAGAGCATGCTGGAGAATGACCAAGATAATCTAGGAGTATTTTTCCTGTGTTTTATTGTACCCACATTTGTCTGGGTTATTTCTATGTATTATTTTCTACCTTGTGTCTTCATTTTTATGTTCAGCCAGACTGATAAACCCCCTTTTCCTCTCAGAGGTCCACAAGGAGTTTAGAATCACTTAAAAATGTCACATTGCAAAGCTTGTCCTACTCTTCTACTCTTCTAAATCATCAGCGAGGACATTAAATCAAGTCAAACCTAGTGCTAGATCACTTTGTACCATCCCTGCAAATACACCTTACCTCATTCAGCAAGTATCCAGCCATGCCTGGACTAATTGAAATTAATCTTTTCATACATGTACAGAACATTACAAAATAGCCAACACAAAGCCAGCCATAGCACTGAACACAGTAAAGTAGGTGTATCTAGATGCCAGAAGGATATTTGTAGCAGACAGTGCTCTGAAAGCACCTGCTGCCAAGAGTACCAGCACCAACGCAGGGTTCAGGCACATGCATTATGTCTTTGAAGCCCTGGCTTTTTATACTCCAAAGGAATCTCAGGATGGAGGCTGCTGTGTGGAGGATACCGCAGGGGCATCTCAAAGGTGGACAAGATTAACAGTGCTCAGGAGTGCAGGTTCAAACTCAGTTTGACACAGACTAGAAGAATTAAAAGATTCATCAAAAATATAAATCAAACTTAAAATCATCCTGAGACTTGCAGCCACTGTGTCGAGCTGCTTCAAGCCTAAAGCACCCTCAGACCTTACGGAAGGCCAGAAATTGGCCTTCTAAGAGCAGTGGATTGGCAGACTGGAGAGAAGTTGGGCAGCAGATCTGCCAAGGCTGCTTCTTGGGCCTGAAGAAATAACATCACTGCAGCCAGCGACAGTGGGGCAGAGCACTGAACGCAGGCCTGACTCTGGAGGGAACTGAGGTAGAAGCTGTTGCAGGGGAGGCTGGGAATTGCCATTGCCTCAGATGACCAGACAGAAAGCAAAGGGAGTTTTCGCCAGCATGCAATATAAGGATACAACCACCAGATTCCCATGAATAGAACATCCTTCTAGACAAGCGCTTGTAACTGTCCTTCCCCAGGGATGTCTCAGGACTAGAAAGAGGTCTGTCAGCTTTGGTGTTTAGCCACAGTAGGATGTGTGATTAGAATCAGTCCACATCTCATATCATCACAGTTAGCCAGCCCAAATTAGGCTCCTTACAGGCGCTTCTAACAGGTGCCAAACCTCAGTGAGGAGGTACTGGCTTTCTACCCATCATGGCCACTTCTCTCTCTTTTCCCCTGGTGTATCCTTGTTTTCTTCCCTTCCTCCCTTACTCCAAGCGCTGTTTTTTGCTCACCTGCCACCTCCCCAGAACTCCGATCCACCTTCTTTACAAGCCATAGTGCTCTCTCCCTCCAAAACATCTTTCTCTGGTAAGGTCTCTCAGGCCCAGCCCCTGAACTCCAACATCTGTCCCCAGGTTCAGGAATCTGTCTTTTTCCCCAGCACTTTCAGTCCCAGGACAGACACCTTTTCCCCCCATCCTTCACTCACAGGCTTTTATAAAGTTCAGCCACTGCCAGTCTGGCCCAAGCTCACCATCAGGTTTCACTAGCAGCAAGAGCGTTTTGCTCTTCAGCTGTTTCTAGCTTGGCAGCAAAGCCACAGCCCTTGCCTCAGCACTGTCCAGATTCTGCTTAGGCACTGCCCTGCTGCACGCTGTAAGAAGTCTACGTGTTGCAAGGACCACTCAAAGCTGTGGAGCCTGGCAGTTGTCCCTCTCATCCACTGCTCACAAGCTGATCAGTGCTATGTAACACAAACCCCTGCTCAGGTTGTGGTAAAGCGCCTCTTTGAGAACGAGCTACCCACATCTCCCTTCTCTGGCCAAACATAGCAGCCCTAACAGTTAAGCAACATTAATACTGGCCACTTAAACTTGAGCTCTGTTACACCCCTGCTGGACGGTGGAAGTGGGTTAATAGACGGGATCAGAAAGTTAAGGCTCCCCTATTGGAAGGATAAATGAAGATTAAAAATTGGCAGTTTGTTAATAATTACACTGATAACTGAGTTACGTGAACCTTACCTCTTACAAAGTTCACTCATCTCCCTCTGCTGGTGGGGCAACTGAATCCTGCATGCTATCCTGTAATTAGTCTACAATCACTCAGGAACTTTGTACACCGTGCAGTCAAAAATGCGAGTGATGCTTTTGGATACTGGCACTCCTAAATAAAGCTGTACTCCAGATCCTGACTGGTGTTCGTTGCCCTGAACAAGTTTCCTGCAGCTGGCTAGTTGCCTGTGCATTGGCTCTGTGCTACACCCTCTGAACTCCTACAGAATCATAAACTCATTCCTTACAGTTCCTTATAACTCATGACTGTGAACTGGTTCGAACTCACTTGAGCTAAAAAAAAAACCCAAGCAAAAACTGTTGGCTTTGTCAGATTTGGTCTCAGAGAAGGCACCTTCTTGGTAGAGCTGATTAGACCAGACCTCCTGTGCTGAATTACTGTTAAAAGGCAAAAAGGCACCGTAGTGTAATTCAACTCAACAAATGAGGACAGTTTCTAACAGTGTGATTTCAATCTAGAGAGACATCTCAAAGGGCTAGGGGACAAGGATGAAATGAAACTTACCTATGCACGTTGGAAAAAGTTAAAGAGCTGACACTTCTTTTCTTAGGTATAATTTTTATCTACAAATCTAATCTAACAAAATGACTTGCTGATTCAAATCATAGTCCGCATATTCCCACCATTTGATTTACGCACAAAGTTGCCTTAGCCATAATATTTGGACTGAAATGGCGAAGCTGTTCTTCAGGCCCCATATTTGCCATCTCTTCTCCCCCAATCACTATGCGGTGTGGCTCATCTGATCTGGCTGGCCCATATCATTAGCTGTAAGACACCCAGAAGTAAACCCAACATCCCTTATAAAGTCCTACGCTCAAAAGGATGCCCTTGCTTTATTCTGCAGTGTGTTTCTGCATATGCAGCCTTAGACCTCTCTTTCTTTCTCTCTTCCACTGAATATTTGAGTTCAGGGTGATTTTTGCAGGTACGTTAACTGTATTTTTCACACGTTGAAACTCAACTGTCTCCAAATCTCCATAAATCTGTTCTTTTGTGACACTGAAGTTTGTCGTTCCTTTCAATTTAATTCAGCTGCACACATTATTAATGTAGCATTGCACAATGGTAAAGATATTGAAGATAAAAAAGAAGTGGGCAGATGATGACATTTACAGCGTAAGGATTTTATGGTGAGATATTTCCTCACCTTGGGTTACCCACAATTCCCAGTTCAAGGCTGTCCTGACAGCATGGACTTGAATGCAGGTCTCGCATCTGATGATACGTGGCTCCTTAACAATGCATTAGAGGAAGCGTGTGTAACCCCAATTCAATTAGCATATTCTTTTTAACCAGAAATTTCATTCTAGTACTGAAGAAAATCTGATTTACTGTTCACAATGCATTTTACTCACCTGAAGACATCTGGCAAATTAATAAATTAAGCTTTGAAAAGAGCCAGCAGCAAGACTTTTAATCAAAGGCAAATGAATAACGTGAAATGCATTTTGGCTCATACTCCAGGATTGCAAGTTGCTTGGATGAGCATCTTTTTCTAGTCTCCCAAGTTATGTCTCAGCAGTCACCGGGTCAGGGCACTGTCTGAAAGTAAGAGCAAATTGTTTGAATGGAAGATACAAGATTGTGACAATAAATGTTCAAACTGAAGCAAGATAAATATTGAACTATTTTAATTCTGCGTAAATAGCATAAAACTTAAGTACAGCCATGCTGTGTCAGATGGAAGTTCAGCTAGCCTCATGTTCCGTTTCTGACAGCACATGATAGCAGATGCCTTAGGAAAGTTCGTAATAACAGGACAAACCAGAAACACTGTATTGGTATTAAACAACCCAAAAGAAATTTTCCTGTGGAAAATTTATCCGATTGCTTTTTGAACAGAAATAAACGTTTAGTACAACATCCTGCGATGAGGCATAGCTTACCAACAAGGCACGTGCAGCGCAATCCCCTCTGGTTCTTTTGAGCGATCTCCCCTTTTGTTGCATTTGACACCTGCCAGCCCTTCCATTGGAGAGACAGCGAACGTTTCCTTTTCTGCCGCCTCCTGTCTGTTCAAGGTTTTCTAGACCTCCTCAAAAGTACAGAAATAGTTTCCCCAAATGTGCTATGCGGGTGCAATGGACAATATTTTTCAAAATTTAATCCCATAAATGTCAGGTTCCCCCACTACACGCCGTTGATTCACTGTTTCATGCACGGGAGAGACCAACAGGGACAATTTAGCCCGAGCCTTTGACACAAACTAGTTTCCCAAACACCTTGTTTGAACAGAAGGGAAAAAACATTAACTCTTGCTTTTAATCTCTGGATGGATGCAAAATCTACCAAACTTTTGCACAAGGCTCTCTTTGTCTCTAGTTTCTGCTTTTTCCTTTTGCCAGGATAAACAGTTTCCCTGGAGTTTGGCACACAGCCTGCTATATGGCTGTGGCACTAATATTGCTACCCAGGAGAGCCCTACCATGAAACAGAAATAAAAGCACAAGAAAAAAATTAGCAGAGGGTCTTGGTATCAGACAACTTGGCAATATTTTCCTTAACTGTAACCTTAGCAGAGCTGAGCACCATAGAATGTTAGGCAGCTCTCTCCTCTCATATCCACCAACATTAAATACGTTAGGCTTTCTGGATTTACACACTCCTGCTAGCCTGCAAATACGAAACAAAGCAGCCACCTCTGCAGTTCTGTGACATGAACTCACTTTTCCCCGAACGAATCGCAATGCTTTAAAAAGTAATACACCCAGTTGTGCATCTTTCCCTGGAATAAACACCTGCAAGCTGGTTTCAAATCCTTCCAAACCATATTATTAAGGGTGACAGTTCTGCCACAGCTCAGAGACCTGAAGCTGTGGTTGACACTGGTTTTTAAAAAAAAAAAAGATGGGGTGGAGGGTTAGTCACTCCACTTAAAAGAAATGTTACATCACTCCAGTCATCAGCACCAGAGCGTACACCTTTTGATCTGGCAGCTCTTTGATGGCGTAATGCAGACACGTGCCTAGGGGCTGTAACCGGTGGGCAGCTAAGTGATGACAAGATGATGGTCAGGAGAGGAAGGAGCACTTGGAGGCGCGGGAGGGGAAGAGGAAGGGCTGTGGGCAGGGGACTAGGGAAGTCAGCTGAGCCAACCAGAGGTGACTCTGCTGTCATCCCTCACCAGCACCTGGCCTGGGATCACTTCAGCTCTTTCCCCATAACCTGCAAATTTCTCCACTGCCAGAGGTCAGCCAGTCCAGGAGCTGGAGGTCTGTAACCCTGGACAAGTACTGGGAGAACGATCTCTGGGAGGGGAAACAGGGTTGTTCTCTATCCCAGAAGCACTCCCAAGCTTCCCAAGGGAGTGGAGAAAGAGCAAAGTTAATTTTATCAGATTTCCTGAGTTTCTGTTTACCTTCCACCATCAGCTCTCTTCAAATCTTTATGGGAATACATGGGTGTAAATTGGTGCTGTAGGTTTCCAGGCCTATGGCACTAGCCCAGAAAACAGGGTCTGGCTGCTTGACCCATGTGGACTAATCCATACAGGAGGCTACATCCATACATTGGCTCCACTGCTCAGGAATAGCGGAACCGTTGTGCAAGACTGTCTGGAAACTCAGTCTCCCGAAGGGAGAGCTGGGGGGCTCCTGCCCTTCAGCCCAGATTTTAGCAGCCTTCAAAATCAAATGTGCTTCTTTGTACTGCCTGGTAGGGGCCTGGTGGACAGGGTCCCCGAGTGGCTGAAATGGGCAGTAAATTACCAGTTCTTTCCACCTTGTGCCACTCCCGAGTCCTGCCTAGTCACAGGGAAGCTATCTGTCAACAGCACTGAGTACAGCTGCAGTCTCAATAGACATAATGTTCCAGCCCTTGAGCACCACCAGCTTTACACACATCTTATCATTAAGCTTCTTCAGTGACTGGCAAGATGACAAGAGGAGTGGGCAAAGGCAGTGAGAGACACCATCTCTAGCAGGGTTAGCGGAGAGGAGCCGGTGTGGGAGGGTAGGGTGGAGGACAAGTGCAGATAAAGCTGGAAAGGAGGCTGAGCAGACGTGTGTAGGCCCGGAACACTATTTGCTATGCTGCGTGGAGTAACAGGCTGGATTATTTATGACAGCTTTTGTGAAACCCTAACTGTCCAGATTTCCCTTCCAGCCCAGCAAGCCTGCAGATACTGGGTTGTGCTGGAGCAGACCACTGCCAGAGCTATAAGGCATGCCAGGATGTGGTTCAGCTCAGCCCGATTTTCAGTAGTTCTCACTTCTTTTTAGTAACATTCTCCTCCATTTTAAATTCAGGAAGTTCAGA